AGACGCTACATGACAAGGATTGTCTAATGAGGATGAGATTTTCTATAAGAATAAAGGCTAAATGGGGACAATTTGGAATTATTTTCTGAAATGGTTAGGTGGGGTTCTAGGCAGAGTGTAAGGGCCTCCAGTTCCTATGTGGTTAATTAGTTTGCGGATGCTGTTCTCTTGGTGCCTGCCCAAGTGACCTCCCAAAGTTCCTTACTGAGAATGAAAGCAAGTGTTTTTCTCTGTGTTGACCAGTGAGCCAGCAAATACATAGTGTGCTTAAGGCACAGCCTGGGAGTGGGGATCAGTGAGTGTGGGGAATCCAGGAGGTGAGGAGAAACAAATGGGACCGTCCTGGAGACTCATTTCCTGTCCCCTTTCAGTAGCTCACCAGATCGCTAGCTCAGCAGGTACCAGCAAGTAATGGAAAAATAGTCCCCTTTTCCAATGAGATAATTTCTTTCATCCAACAGCTTTCATGGTGGTGGTATAGATGTCCCTGCCTCACCTTCCCTATAAGCGTGATGCATTCCATGCAGGCTCCCTCTCCACAGGACCTGTAGCCATGGGACACATGGTCCAACTAAGTCTGGCCTAATCCTCTTCTATGGAAGCACCGGGAGGTGGCTGAGGTGGGGACCTAGATGGTGCAGGGCGGAAGGGACAGCAGTCATAGGAGGTAGCTGCTGCCAGCTCCTCCCCTACATCCCCCCACCCCCACCAGACCCTGAGCTCCTGGGGCCATTAGGCAGTGATGGCGAACCTTTTGAGCTCTGTGTGTCAGCATTTTGAAAAACCCTAAATAACTCTGGTGCCATGTCACATATAGAAATTTTTTGATATTTGCAACCATAGTAAAACAAAGATTTATATTTTTGATATTTGTTTGATATGTTTAAATGCCATTTAACAAAGAAAAATCAACCAAAAAAATGAGTTCTTGTGTCATAGGTGCGCCTCACTGCCATAAGGGGCTCCATGGCACAGATCCAAATAGTGTGTGGTGTACTTTGACCACAGAAGGAGAAGAGGGGAAGATGGTGAGGAAGAGGAGGGGAGGACGAGGAAGAGGCTGACTCAGCCAGTGACTACAGGGAAAGCAGCTTCAGGAGGCACAGCGCCTACAGGTACCCACCCAGCCCATGGCTGCGGGCTCCTGCCCACCTCCTCTGCCCTCACCCGAGCTCTCCCAAACCCGAACCCCAACCTCTACTCCCCCGACTGAGAGGAAATGCCAGGGCACATCTAGTGACACTCACACACAACAGAAACAAACACAGCACAACAGAACAGCACACCTACATCTACCAGAGGACAGAGGCGCATTGTTCATGGGGGTTGCATTGTTGTAGTTTGCAGGCCATATACTGGCTCGCTCTTTCTCTGCTTTCCTCTTTAATGCTGTTCTCTTGGTGCCTGCCCAAGTTACCTCCCAAAGTTCCTTACTGAGAATGAAAACAAGTGTTTTTCTCTGTGTTGACCAGTGAGCCGGCAAATACATAGTGTGTTTAAGGCACAGCCTGGGAATGAATCAGGTGAATTATCACATTTGTTTTGGCTTTGCTTGCAGTGTCTCCATGAGGCAGGACCAAAACTTTGGCACATGGATCCACTGCATTCATTTTTTCTCCCCTTGTGTTGGTTTCGTATTTTTGGGATGAAAGAAGCCTCTTGTTTTGCAAACCTCTCTGTTTCTAATGTGGTTTCCTGTAGGTTTTTATTATGTATCTGTTCTTTAAAAGGGACTTAAGGATTTAGAGAGGTTGTCTCCCTCCCTGTTCCCTCTTTTTCTCTCTCCCTCTCCCTCACTCTCTCCCTCTCCCTCTCTCCTCTTTCTTACACACACACACACACACACACACACACACACACACTCCCCTTTGCACGCCTAGCTGTGTGGTTTTAAAATTATGTTGAGGAAATGGATCAGTTTGGGTTATGTCAAACCTGTAAGAATTTTTGTGAGTTTATTTGAGCCAAACTGACAATTGCTGGGAAGCAAAATTTCAAAGGATTGAGAAAATGCTCCAGAGAATGGCAGTTTCGCACCTTATTTGATACATTACAATCCAAATAAGACTTACATGGGTTAAATCCATTGGTGATAGAATAAAAAGTAAAATGATAGACACATACTTCTTTTTTAAAAATATATTTTATTAATTTTTTAAATATATATTTTTTATTGATTTTTTACAGAGAGGAAGGGAGAGAGATAGAGAGTCAGAAACATCGATGAGAGAGAAACATCGATCAACTGCCTCCTGCACATCTCCCACTGGGGATGTGCCCGCAACCCAGGTACAGGCCCTTGACCAGAATCAAACCTGGGACCTTTCAGTCCGCAGGCCGACGCTCCATTCACTGAGCCAAACCTGTTAGAGCGGCACATATTTCTTTTACATAGGTGGGTACAATATAGGATATAGTCAGCAACTAATTCAATAACAGTGAGGGCATTTGTGGTCTCCCTTCTAATGTGGTACCTGTGCTTTGAGGGGTCTAGAAAAAGGAAATTATTTTGAGATTCCAAAGGAACCTTTCAGTCCGCAGGCCGACACTCCATTCACTGAGCCAAACCTGTTAGAGCGGCACATATTTCTTTTACATAGGTGGGTACAAGATAGTTAATAGTCAGCAACTAATTCAATAACAGTGAGGGCATTTGTGGTCTCCCTTCTAATGTGGTACCTGTGCTTTGAGGGGTCTAGAAAAAGGAAATTATTTTGAGATTCCAAAGGAATGTTATGGTAGATGCAAAAAGACAACATACAGGCTTAGTAAGGTGAAAATTGAACTTAGTCAGGTAAGATTCTAGCCTAGAACATGACTACTGCTTTTAGTTTTAAATTCAGCCCTAGCCAGTTTGGCTCTGGGATAGAGCGCTGACTTGTGGACTGAAGGGTCCGGGTTTCATTCCCGGTCAGGGCACCTGTCCATATTGTAGGCAACTAATCGATGGTTCTCTCTCATCCTTGATGTTCCTCTCTCCCCTCCTCCTTCTCTGTCTGAAATCAATAAAAATATATATTTTTTAAACAGTTTTAATTTCAGATCATCCTTTGTGGTTATTTTAAGTCTCTGAGTTAGTAAGGCTGCCACACAGGCACGGGAAGAAGACCACGGCCCCAGCACCGCTCGGTAGACAATGTTTCATTTTAGCTCGCCATTGTACACTCAGTCTTTAACTTAAAGATCAATATAAGTCTTTGTAAATTTAGTTGGCATTACTAAATTATTTTCTTAATGAATTTTATCCAATTAGAGTCTTAATCGGAAATAACTTTGTTCCCTCAACACCAGGCAAGTCCTTGCTGGCTTTATGCTTAAAATTCCAAAAAATATAGGAGAGGTCAGAGAGTTGTTGGCTGGCTTACCAGAACTCATTGGAAAATGAAACCAGACTTTGTCAAAAATAAAATAAGGTGGCAGAGAACCATGCACTCTTTGAATGGACTGGAATTACAGCAAATTTCAAGAGCTTGCTTTCAATGGCATTTGTGGCTATGAGTTGGTTTATTACTTTAACATCAGTGGTTCTTTAATAAATAGTATAAGAGTAAACAAATAACAAAAATTATGTTTTCTTATTCATTTATTTCCCAGAAAAACAAGCCACTTGATCTTTGAATTTGTTAGCTGTTTTCAGTTGATTTTTTTAAGTCTCTGCCTTAAATGGTTTTGTTAGTGCAAGCATGTCAAACTTGCAGCCGGCAGGCCGCACATGCCTCATTCCCGCCAGCCACGAGTTTGACATGCTTGCTCTAGGGGAGTGTTCTTTCTTGCTGTTTTATGGCTAGCCAGCATTCCCATGGGCATAGACAGCATTAATTAGTCAGAACAATAATACTTATACTATGATGTAGATTTTGCCAGCCAACAAGAAAGGATTTTGGAATTTTCAGTTATCTGGAGCTTGATTTGAGTTTCTGATTTTTCTTTCATCATTTTTTCCTTGTAGATAGAGTCCTAGAACATAATTTCATTTTTTAATTAACTGATCTTATCTGGGGCTCTTCAAGTTCTTCGTCTCTGGTGGATTATGGATCAACTCCCTGGGGTGGTTGGAAATACACAGATTTTATCCTGACAGCCCCAAGCTGTGAATTAATTGTGGGGTCTGGCTGAGAAATGTTCCTTTATAAAGGTATTAAATAGCCTGGCTGCATCAACCTATGAACGATCAGATCATGGTTTGATTTCCCGTCAGGGCAGATGCCCAGGTTGCAGGCTCAAACCCAAGTGTGGGGTGTGCAGGAGGCACCCAGTCAATGATTATCTCTCATCATTGATGTGTCTATCTCTCTCTCCCTCTCCCTACTTTTTGAAATCAACAAAAAATATATTTTTAAAAGGTGATAATTCTTTTATTCTCTAAAGATTAAGGAAAGTTATTTATGTATATGCTATTTTCAGTTAGCTTTATATTAATCAAGAGACCTGAGAAGATTTCTCAACCCACTAATCACTGAAGTTCAAAACCATTCCTGAAGGGTAGTTGGAGTCTGTATTAGTTTGATAGGTCTAGCGTAACCAAGAACCACAAACTTAGCTTAAGTCCAAAATTGAAATGTTACGGTTCAATATTTATGTCACCCCAACCCAAATTCATATGTTGAAACCCAATGACCAATGCAAGAGTATTATTTCATTTGGCAAGTAATTAGGGTTAGATGAGATCATAACGGTGAAGCCCTCATGAATGGGAACAGTGTCCTTGTAAGGGTCATGAAGAGCTTGCTTCCTCTCTGTCTACTCTCCATGTGAGGATGCCATGTGATATCAGTTGTGTACTGTAGGCAACCGATATATTTCTCTCTCATATTGATGTTTCTCTCTTTCTCCCCCTCTCCCTACCCCCTTGTCTCTCTTTAAAATCAATAAACATATCTTTGGGTGCGAATTTAAAGAAAAAATCAAACATGGGTATTGAGAATTTCAAGAAAATGGCAACATTTTTGAACTGTAAAGTGTGTCCCACTCCACACCACTCTAACTGGTGTATTTTGTAGGTCAGCTATTTTTCCAGGAAGCAGTATGGCCATGGGAGGAAGACTCTCAGATTTCAGCTTTGAAGAGGAGCTCAGATTGCCAGACTGGACTCGCTCTTCTGAATTTCCTGAGAATAAAGTATGGTAGCAACCATCTCAGGTAGAAACTGTAGTTTAACTCTAACCCTGCTGTTTGGCTTAACAATAGAAAAGTTATTTTGATTTTCTGAATTATAGAAATCATCCCATTCGATTGAATGCCTTTTGATTGTAATGTGAATATCCCATTGATTGTGATCTTACTGGTTTTAGGAAGCACATTCTTCTAGTCCCCAAAACCAGGACAGCACATTTACTCTAAATTGCCTCGATGGCTCTAGATAATGTGTTCCTGGTGACTCAGTGGTCCCAAGAGCTGAGGGCTCTAGATAATGTGTTTCTGTCAAGGCAGTGATCCTGAGACCCAAAACTATAATTAACATGCTTAATTCTGCTTCTGCAAACTGCTTTTTTGCCAACCAGGTTCCTCATCCCAAACCCTGGGATGTACTCAATACCTTTGTGATTTTTGCCTCTATAAATCTGGTATTGCGGCCATCTTATCAATTCGAGATTTGGGAGAGCGAAATGCCCCCTCAGAGCCCCGGATTGCAATAAATGTGACTCTTTAATTCGACTTCTTGAGGCGTCCTTCTGTGATTCACGGGGTACATTATAACAAGATGCCAGGCCCTGTGGCTTTCTTGGAAAGCTCTTCAATACTCCCCTCCTCCCACCTTCTTTTATACCCCCTCCCCACATCCCACCATGCCTGGGATCTGGGGCCAACCAAGTGTGCAGTCCAAATCCTGCCTCACTGTGAGTGGGGAGGGGAGACCCAGAGGGAGATAGTTATCTTTTCTGCAGGTAAAAGTAACCACTTGGTCACTGGTGATTTTGGGGAAAAGGCTCCCTCTTCTGTAGGCACTTCAGCCCAAGAATAATAAAGGCTGCCTAAATAAAGGTTAGAACTTGAGGTGGGGGAGGGGTGCTTGGTTGCTAAGGGGCACATGCAGGACAGGCTGCCAATTGTGACAGGGCTGTCAATTGTGACATGGCTGCAAATTATTGGGCTCCTGCTCAGTTCAGGGACTTGGTCCCACTTCTCTGGGTTGCGTGTACGTGCCCCAGTATTTTGGATCGCTCCTTGTGCTCCAGTCTCCTGGATCGCTAATTGTGCTCCATTATTTCGGATTACCTATTGTGCCCCAGTCTTCTGGGTCACCCTCCTTGCCCCATTCGCCTTGGTGGCTCACTGTGCCCCGGACCTCTGCCTGTCATGTCCGGGCTGCACATGTGCGCCCCACGGTTCCTGTTCCTATGGCAGCTGTTGTGGCTGCAGGTCCTGGCAGCTCCGATTCCGGAGGTGGCCATGGACTCTATACTGCTGACCTCCATGCCCCTGGGGCCCACCAAGCCCTGGTCTTGGGATCAGCAAAATCCTGCACACCTTGAACTTTCTTCTGTCAACCATGAAGTCTCACCTGTACTTGCTGAGGCCCCTGAGAAAACGGAACCTTCTCCAAACCCTCAGGAGGCTTTAGTTCAGCTTCCACCCCAACAAGAAGCTGCAACTCAGCCTGCAGTGTCCTCTGAGCCGTTGAAATTTTTGTTGGACCACCACGGAGATCAAGATAAACAGCAACCCTATGGTGAATATGTTCGCTCTTCAAAGAGATCAATTCTACCACCTTCTGTGCCTCTTGAAGAGATAAAAAATTCTCACATCCATCAGGCTCAGCAGACAACCTTTCCACCCGTGGACCTGGGACTCACCATCACGCCTGAACACACTTCGGGGGCTGCGGCTACAGCCCTGCAGCAGACTGCAGCTCCTCCAAAGCCCTCTGAGGTGACATTTCCCCCCCAAGTGCTGGTTCAGGGTCAGTGGCCAAGCATTCCACCCGTGGACCTGGGACTCACCATCACTCCTGAACACACTTCGGGGGCTGCGGCTACAGCCCTGCAGCAGACTGCAGCTCCTGCAAAGCCCTCTGAGGTGACATTTCAACAGGAAGCGGGGGTTCAGGGTCAGTGGCCAACCATCCCACCCATGGACCTTGGACTCACCATCACTCCTGATCACACTTCGGGGGCTGCGGCTACAGCCCTGCAGCAGACTGCAGCTCCTGCAAAGCCCTCTGAGGTGACATTTCAACAGGAAGCGGGGGTTCAGGGTCAGTGGCCAACCATCCCACCCATGGACCTTGGACTCACCATCACTCCTGGTCACACTTCGGGGGCTGCGGCTACAGCCCTGCAGCAGACTGCAGCTCCTCCAAAGCCCTCTGAGGTGACATTTCAGCAGGAAGCAGGGGTTCAGGGTCAGTGGCCAACCATCCCACCCGTGGACCTGGGACTCACCATCACTCCTGATCACACTTCAGGGGCTGCGGCTACAGCCCTGGATCAGAATGCAGCTCCTCCAAAGGCCTCTGAGGTGACATTTCCCCAGGAAGCGCCGGTTCAGGCTCCTCAGCCAACCTTTCTAGCTGTGGACCTGGAGCTCACCATCACTCCAGAGTCTACGGTGGAGACTGGTGCTACAGCCCTGCAACAGACTACAGCTCCTGCAAAGCACCCTGAGGTGACACTCCCACCGCCAGACACTGTTCAGGCGCATCAGCCAACCTTTCCACCTTTGGTCCTGAAGATCACCATCACTCCAGAACCGAATTTGGAGGCTGATGTTACAGCCCTGCAGCAGACTACAGCTCCTGCAAAGCACCCTGAGGTGACACTTGAACATCCAGAACTTCAGCCAACAGAGTCATCAGAGACAGTTCCTCCAATGACTGAACAGAGTGCCACCATGAACATCTGTGAGCTCTGTTCCTGCAGTAATGGGACACTGTCATGTATTGGTTTCGGCTCCAAGCAGAGGCTCAACAGAGTGCCAGTACCAGAGCCCAGCACCTATAATGGCACCTTCACCATCTTGTAAGTATTGCCTTTCCTCATTTGCTCTCTGCATCCTGGCTGACATGGCAGCCTTTTCCTTGAGGTCTTCCTGGGCCTTCCTCATCTCCCCCAAACCATGTTGAATGACTTTGTTTTTATCTTTGTTTGACAGCTATTCCTTATCTTTATTCTTCTTAATACTTTGTTCCCCCTTAACCAGTCTTTTGCTTGTAATTGAGCATATTATTTTTCCAAATTTTTATCCCTAGCATTTCATTCCTTAACCTCTACTGTCCTCCCACTTATGCTTCATTCTCTTTATAGCCACATGGCCCTCTCCCAGACTCATTGGTGGTGATACAACAAAGTGGTTAGGAGTAGAGATTCTACAACCAGAGTGACTGGGTTTGAACCCAGTACGCCTTTATTAGTGTTGAGACTCAATTTCCTCACCTGTAAATTGAAGATTATATAGTTACCTTTACATAGGATTGTTGTGAGTTTTAGAAGAGTTAATGTGTTTGTGTGTGTGTGTATACATATATATAATTTATAAAATTTCCTAACATAGGTCTGTGTTCGCTATTATTATTTGATCTCTCAGTCATATCTAGAACTTATCTTTGCCCCCTGGCTTTCTATATAAATGACCCATTTTGTTCCCAGCCCAGGTTTAAGTACTGTGTGAGCCACAGAAGTATGACTTTGTCTATGGAACATGACAGTGGTAGGGGGGAAGAAAGGGAATATACATAAAAAAGTAGGTGATATATAATTAAGTTCTAAAAGAAATACAGGCCAGAGGTGCTATAATACAGCAGAATCTTTAGTTATTGGTGTATGGAAGTCAGGGAAAGCTGCATGGATAACCCAGAAGTTTAGCTGGGACTTAAAGGGAGGCTATGGTTTGGTAAAATAGTGAGTACAGTAGTGCAAAGGCATGGCTACAGGAATGATCATGACTTAATAGACCAGTCTGGTTATAAAGAATTGGTTTAGGAAGTAGTGAAAAATATGATGATGAAAACTCTTGACTATCAGATCTAGGGGTTTCGAAGTTACACTGAGAAAAGGAGTCCTATTGAAAGTTTTAAAGTGAGAAAGACAGATGAGTAAAAAAAAAAGGGGGGGCGGGGTGGGGATTATTTCAGATTCCATAGGTAGAGTGATCTAGAAAGGAAATCTTGACTCAGGGAGACCAAGTAGAATACTGTAGGAGTTCAGTGAGAAGACTCTGAATCAGAGTGTTGTGATAGAAGAAGAAAGAAAATCCTCGGAACACTATAAAGGAAGAACTGACAAGCTTTAGTAACTGACTGGAGTGAGGATGGGATGTATAGGAAAGAGAAAGATCAGATATGACCCTGGAAAATTTCTGTCCTGGATGATGAGGAGAATGATGGTGGTATGACAGGTGGGCATACAGCAGTTGGGAAAGAGAGCCAGTTTGAGGAGGTGAGCTCAGTTTGGGCTTCTTTCATTGGTGAGCATAAAGCAGCAAGAAGGCTTCTGCTTGAGAGGAGATGTCCACTAGGCAGAGGGGCAGACAGATAACTGACTTTTTCTGACCTTCCTGAAAAATATGTAAACTGAATAGGTAAGTTATTGCTGAGGGATGAGGACAAAGCTAAAGATTCAAAGTCATCCACTGAGTTAGTGTTTGAAACTGAACCTCAGGAATTTAACAGCTTCTTTTAAACACTTGTAATTCATGGACACATTCTCACTGTTTGTGGGTTTTTTTAAAAAATACATTATTATTGATTTCAGAGAGGAAGAGAGAGGGAGAGAGAGAATGATGAGGTCAATGATGAGAATCAATGATGAGATGAATGATGAGAATCATTGATCTGCTGCTTACTTCACGCCCCCTACTGGGGATGGAGCCACAACCCAGGCATGTGCCTTTGATCAGAATTGAACCTGGGACCCCTGAGTCCACAAGCTGATGCTCTATCCACTGAGCAAAACCAACCGGAGCTCACATTATAGCTTTATTAATTGTGCAAACTGGAAAGCTGACAGATGTGGAGATTAGAAAGCTTGTGTTTCCTGCATTTAAATATCAAGATTGCAATGATTATTTTACTTATTCTGTTCATTTGTTTCTTACTTATTCAATGATATTAACTGTTTCTTTGCAGAAACTTGCAAGGAAACGCCATTTCTTACATTGGTAAAGATACGTGGAAGTCATACCATTTGGTTGAGAAACTGTGAGTATACTCTCTCCATACGTAAATTTAAAAAAACTAACTGCATTGTAAGAACTTCTTGGTCCAGAATTTTGAGGTCAGTAGCTCTGAGAAAAGGTATTTCCTACTCTGTATCCCAAATCAAGTCTATTGATTGCAATTCTGTTCATTTTAAAAAATTAAATTTGGTAGGCCCTCTTTATAATCACAGTCAATTGAAACTTATTTTCTATTATGATAAGCAACACATGATTATGTTTTTTAATATATGAAAATTAGATAGCAGATATACTGAAAACCCTGCTTGTGTCCTCATCCCCACCCGAAGGTAACTGCTTCTTTATGTTTACTATATTTCCTTACATATCCTTTTCAATGCATTTGCCTACATACATATTTACAGATAGCAAAATAGGTATGTTATGTGATTTTCATATCTTTCTTTACATAATTGATAACATCCTACGTCTTGATTCTTTCTCCTCATAATATATCTTACACATGTTTCCTCCTTGTTAGAGAGAGGGTTACCCAATTCATTTAAACTATTTCAGAATATTTTATAGTTTAATAATCCCCCTATTGATGGATATTTAGATTATGTCCAGTTTTCTTGTTACATGTATTTGATGCAACATACATTCTTGTCCATGCATCTTTGGGACCATGGGCTGATATTTATGTAGAATAGATATTTAGAAATGGAATTGTTGGGATGAAACTATATTGATACAGCATTTAATTTTCCTTAAAGAAATTATGCCAATTTATACACCACTAAGTGGGCAACTACAGTATTTATTGTCTTCTATCCTTCCATCACTAGATAGTCTCCATTTTTTGGCTGATCTAATGGGTGAATAAAGGCGGTCCCACCTAAGTTTGAATTTTTCTGATTACTTGTGAATTCAGATACTTTTATTTATTTATTGAACATCTGTTTCTTAAAAATAATTTTTTATTGATCCCAGAAAGGAAGAGGGAGAGAGAGAGAGATAGAAACATCCATGATGAGAGAGAATCCATTGATTGGCTGCCTTCTGCACACTCCACACCGGGGATTGAGCCCGCAATCTGGGCATATACCTCTACTTGGGAATCAACCGTGACCTCTTGCTTCATAGGTTGACATTCAAACATTGTGCCATGCTGGCCAGGCAGGTTTGGAGATTTCTAAGTCAGCTTGAGATTTATACCTTGGAAAGAAGAGGTTCCTAACTTAGAGTCAGTGGACCCCCAGTGCACCATTTCTTACCATTTTTCCTCCCAAATATCTCTTGGTTATCTGCAGAAGCCTATATTCTTGAGGACTATATTTTTAAAAGATGTATAAGTTAAAATATATATGAAAAGAAAGGAAAGCTAGTATTAAAATGCGTATTTAAAAACATTATTTATTTTCCTATGATTATTCATTTTTTAATCCTTCCCTGAGGATATTTTCCCTTTGATTTCTGGAGAGAGTGTAAGAGAGAGGTAAAGACAGAGAGAAATATCAATGTGAGAGAGACACATTGATTGGTTGCTTCCTGCACAAGCCCCTAACAGGCCTGGGCTGGGGAAGAGCCTGCAACCCAAGGTATGTGCCCTTGACCAGAATTGAACCCGGGACCTTTGGTCAATAGGCAGACATTCTATCCACTGAGCCAAACCAGCTAGGACTAAAATATTTTTAAAAAATAGATTATTAAAAAAAAATAGATTATTGAAAGTGGTTGAGTGTCAGCCTATGAACATCGAAGTCACTGTGGGATTCCCATTGAGGACACATGCCAGTTGCAGGCTCAACCCCCAGTGGGCTGTGCAGGAGGAAGCTAATCAATCATTCTCTCTCATCATTGATGTTTCTCTCTCTCTTTCTACCTCTTCCTTCCTCTGTAAAATTAATAAAAGTATATTTTTAAATTAAAGCAATAAAAATATTATTGATACTACTTCTCTTTTTTACGTTTTTCTGTAATCCTTGTCCTAAGATATTTTTTCCATTACTATTTTTCAAAGAGAGTGGAAAGAGGGGGAGAGAGAGAGAGAGAGAGAGAGAGAGAAAGACATGAGAAAGAGATATCGATTGACTGCCTCCTGCTGGTTTGGGGCTAGGGATTGAACCTACCACCAAGGTATGTGCCCTTGACTGGGAATCGAACCCATGACCTTTTGGTTTGTTGGCCAACACTCTAACCACTAAGCAAAACCAGCCATGTCAAATCTGCTCCTCTCATAAGTAACACAAGCTATAGTGGTTGATCTGATAACTATTATAACTTCAATGTAGTGATGAGAATAAATGTTATTTTGAGATATCTGCAACAAATATCTTATATGAAAACATCTGTGAATTTATTGGAGACCCAATGAACTACTATACTGTTAATCTAGTATGGTTTGTTGCCTACATTCACAATGTAGGGCAATGGTAATTTTTGGTAGATGTTTGTGAAAACAGAGATGTAATTTTATTTCCCATTCAGGTTTGGCCCCCTGAATTCAATTCATACAATGCTATTCACCGACTCTGGCCTGAAGTGGTAATCAGCAAATGAAAATTATATGCACACTTTGGCATGTATTCAAGAAAGTGTAGTTTTCTAGGGAAAGAGTCCATAGTTTTATGAAATTCTCACAGGGCTCTTGTCTCCAAAGATTAATAGTCACAAATGTAGAGGAAAAGAAAGACAATTCCTTGCCTATAAAGCTGTGCTTATTCTCATGAGTAATAGTAAATGGATGATTTGTTTTAAACAAAAGTAGTAGACTGAAAATGATGTTTGTCATTTTCTGAAATCATGGCAAAAGTATTTATGGAACGTCTGCTATGTGCCAGGAACTGTTTCATGTGCCAGAATTACATGCTCAAGAACAAAGTAGACAAATTACTCCATTTTTCAAGGGGTTTACAAGTATATAATATGAAAATGAATACCTATATATATAAAAGCCTAATATGTCCCCATGGGAATTCAACTGGGAGGCCGATAGCTTGCTAAGATGTGCGCTGACCATCAGGGAGTGGTGCGAAACAAATGAAGGAAGGCCCTGGCCAGCAGCCAGCAACCAGGGAAGGGAGGCCCTGGCCAGGCAGCCGGAAGGTCCCAATTAGCCCTGATCACCAGCCAGGCATATGGACCCTACCCTATGCCTGAATTTGTGCACTAGGCCTATATTGTGTATATATATACACACATATATACGTATTAACTAGGTACATATCATTTCAAATATTGGTAAGTTCTTTGGAAAAAAGAAAGCTGAGTAAAGAAAATGAATCCATTTTAGAATGCTATATTGTTTGCAAAAGAGGACGGGAGAAGAAAGGTTTGAAAAAAAAAACAGATTATCTTCCTTCAATTAAATGAAAATTAGGGTATTTCGCGGGCACCATTACCCGGGTTTCCCCATATATATTTCTGTGCAGGAAATAGTTGTAGTTATTTTGTATTTTGATCCAGATATAACCTTTTCATTTTTCAGAAATCTCAGTGCAAATAATTTGAGAGAATTACGTAAAGATTCATTTGAAGGCCTGGCTTCCCTCCAGTATTTGTAAGTTAATTGTATTTACTTATGAGATTTTAGTTATATTATCTATAAAATAAATAAGGGGTTCAAATGAAAAAATTTCTACAATTTCTTCCAGCAATAAAATTCTACAATTCCATAAGTCTGTGTAGCTCATCTCTAGCATTTAATATCTCCTATGCATTTTCAGTTTCAGTTTTGCCCTCTAGACAAAATATTGATAGGAAAAACTCTTCAGTTATGGAGTAAAAGTGGTGATGAGGTCTGAGTAATGATACACACCATTATGAGCCTTGTTATATAAGGTTTATATACCATCTGCTTATATTTATATTTAGTTTAGGGCCCAAGAATCAAATTGGGCCTATGATTGCTCATTACATTTTTTTAATTTAAATTCTTTATTTTTTAAAGTATTACATAAGTATCCTTTCCCCCCCATTTACCTCTCCCCGGCCACCTCCTTCCTCCCCCAGATTGTTTGGATCTTACAGCACATACGTTAAGAAGGATTTTCACACTTTTAAAGGACTTTGAAAGAAAAGAAACCAAGAAGAATATGCAAGACAGACTATTTGAGGCCTGCAAAGCCTAAAATATTTACTGTCTGACCTTTACATAAAAGGTTTTAAAATGTTGATTTAGTTAAATGAGAGGAATTTAGCTTAACCTCAAATTGCCTCCTATAGGACAAGAAAATATAAAGCATTTACATTAATTTGAATGCCATTAACCCAAAATTTTTTGATAATTGATTCTAAATTAGATTAACATTTACAATTAAATGTTTTAGCAGATGACTTATGTAAAAATATTATTAAGAACATATTATACTATGAAGAGAGCAGACTGGTGTTGAGGATTTCAATGCAAGAATTGGTATACCAATAGTAAAAGTAAATGTTTAAAATGATGGTTAAGTGGTATTAGAAATGTCTCCACTAAGTAAATATATCAGAAATGCCCCTAACTTCACTAATTACAAAATAAAAATCTCTTCAGCCTCCTTGTCAAGGAAGAAATGCTTGCCTAGTATCCTATTTACTTAGAAATAGGGAGATGTTCGTTAGTATAAAAACTCAACTATGATTCTTTGTCCATGGCACCCAGAGCTGTGTATGTCATTAATCCTTATTAGGCTAATGAATGATGCTATTTAGCAATGGATTCTTTCTGCAAATATGGAAGGCCTCAGGCAAGTAGGTATAAAGAGCCTCACATGACACTAAAAATAGTCATTTGTATTATTAAACCTTTCAAACTTCAGAGGGACATCCACTTTTATATTGGTCTTCTGCTATCTCGCTTTCAAACCTTCCATACAGTTTGGAGGAAATAAAATGAAGTAAAAAACTTCTCAATAGGTTATGTCATTCATTACTTCTACTGTGAAATACTTTGTAAGCTACCTCTTTCATGCTAGCATAAAATATTCCCATCCATTAAAAAATGCCTATCAATAAGCAATCTAAAACAGAACATGCCAAGCACTGTACCTAGAACTATAGGCACAAGATAGGTATGTCAGGGTTCCTACCCTTCTGATAATTGATGCTCTCATAGGGAAAATAAACATATCAACTCAAACCATAGAGCACAAGTACTAAATGGAAGACTATGTGCTGCAGTGGCACACAAGAGGGAGCCATGAAATAATAAAACTACATTTCTTTTAAAAATCATTTTTCTCTCTACTTCCCAGCTATTTGTTTATTTGATAAATATTTCAGTTTGCACCTGTTTGCATGTCAGTAGACAATGCTGATGAGCAAGACCCAGTCCATACTTTAAGGAGTTTATACTCAGAGGAGATAGGATGCAAAATAACTCTATTAAAATTTTGTAAGAAATGAATATATAAATTGGTTTTGGTGACAGCAGAGGGAAAAAAGACTTTATGTTGGATCAGCAAAGATGTCAGTAGAGCAATGCTGTTTGAACACGACCTTGAAGGGCTTTTGGGGATCAATGGACAGACATCTTGAGTAGAATAAGCTTGCAAAAGGAGCTTGGGAAAATATACCTTGAGTAGCTGTAGAGTACACGTAGGCGGAGGAGGAGATTAGAGCCAGATCTTCTGGAGTTTTGAATACCAAGTACCAAGTTATCACACCATTGCTGGAGGAGAAGCTTTAGCCTACAACAGAGTCACTTGGAGGGCTTGTTAAAACTCAAGCTGTACCCTCAGTTACTAATTCAGTCGATCCACAGTCAGACTGAGAATTTCAATCTTTAATAAGTTCCCAAGTGATGCTGACTTGGTATTTGAGAACCACCTCTGGAGTGTTAATCTGGTGACTGTGTGCAGGATGGTTTAGCAAAGGGGAGATTATAGATGGAAACACCAGTCAGAAGACAGTTAGAAAAGTGAGGAGAAAAGTGAGAAAAGTGAGGGACTAAAGTGGAATCAATGGAAATAAGACAGTCAATTATAGACAAGGGATGGTGTTTTCAAATAAAAATCCAGCACCATGTTGTGTTCTGTTGTCCGACCACTGTACAACTGAAGCCATTAAATACATGGGTATTAAAATAATGTATAATAAGAAATGAATTGCTATTAGTATAATAGAAATTATCATTAGTTCAACATTCTGTATTAGTTCAAAGTTCTGTATTATTTAGAGCAGTCACTTCCTTTTAAGTTATGTGAAAAGGCATCTTTTATTTCTTCTGGTATTGAATTTGCCTAAAACACAGAAGTAAACCAGGGAGGTGTGTAGATGTGAGACTATTTTTTTTTAATGTTAGACATTTATAAATGTACACGGAGATATAAACTTTAGCTCATAATCTAAATTTGATGAGACCACAAAGGGTCTTCTAACCAATTCTTCTGCTCTCAGGAATAAATACCTTCAAAATGTATCCAGATCTATAGTTGTATGTTGTATTTGTGAAGATCCTGATGGTGAGACTTTTGAGTGAGGGCAGTATAATGGGTTCTGGATGGTTCAAATCACAATTCTTAAGGTTTTCAGTTTAGACTAAACCTGTGTATTCAATATTATTGTAACGTCTACCAGTTATTCCTACTAATTAGATACTAATAAGTAATTAAACACTATTTTTCTTTTACTTTTTCTAGGGACTTGTCCTGCAATAAGATAGAATTTATTGAAAAGAATGCATTTGATTCATTACCTCTTTTACAATATATGTAAGTTATAAATATAACCTCATTGTGTTTAGGAATTTCATAAAACATAATTGTAAACCTTTTTGTTATTTATTTTGAAGTAAGATTAAAATTTTATTACTAGAAAACTACTAAATTTATGTAGAAAATCCAATTTGTCTCTAGCATAGATTAGTGTGAGAATTCTGTCACATTCCGAATGAACCATTCTATCTGCACAGCAAAAGAAACCTTCAACAAAACAACAAGAAAGCCCAGTGCATGGGAGAACATATTTGCCAATGATTTTTCCAATAAGAGTATAATCTCCAAAATTTACAGCGAACTCATACACCTTAACAAAAGGAAGATAAATAATCCAACAAAAATGGGCAACAGGTCTAAAGAGACACTTTAAGAAAGAGGACATACAGAACGTCCAGAGACATATGAAAACATGTTCAAAGTCACTAGTCATCAGAGAGATGCAACTCAAAACAATAATGAGATAACATTTCAGACCAATCAGAATGGCTATCATCAACAAATCAACAAATGACAAGTACTGGTGAGAATGTGGAGAAAAAGGTACCCTCCTCCACTGCTGGTGGGAATGCAGACTGGTGTAGCCACTGTGGAAGACAGTATGGACTTTCCTCAAAAAGTTAAAAACAGTATGAACCATACTATAGCAGTGGTTCTCAACCAGGGTGATTTTGCACCAGGTGACACTTGGCAATAGCCAAAGAGAGTTGTAGTTGTCAGAACTGTAGATTTGCTACTGGCATCTAGTGGCAGAGGCCAGAATTATTGTTCAAGGCAAAGGACAGTTCCCCATAATAAAGAATTATCTAGCCCCAAATGTCAGTAGTGTTGAGGTTGTGTAGCCTTATTTGAGAGAAATATAGATCAGTTTAATAGATGCATTTTTTTGTATCTAATGCACCACATGAAAGCATAAACCATAAGCAAATATCTCCCATAGTAAGAATTTTAGTGTATAGAGGGAGTATTGAGGTTGTTTTATCATATATAAATTAGAATCTCTGCTAAAGGATAAGTGATCTGAAAGAATTTTTTTCTCTTCTTTTGCTCTTGTCCTTTTTTAATAGAAATCTTGGTTGCAATTTAATCACCAAAGTGAACTTTGGAACATTTCAGACCTGGGATGGAATGCAGCTGTTACACAAGTTGTAAGTGAAATAGAAGATGAACACATGTAAAAAGCTATGTTTAAAAACTTCATACAGTGATTGGTTGGCTGGGTATAAGCTCAGTTTGAACTCGAGAAGAATGGCTTAAGAGCCATTCTTTTTTTTTTCTTTTTTCAATGAGGAAACTAAGGTACAAAGTGTCCAAGAGACTTGTCTAACTGACATATGCCATGCTCTGCTTTCCCAGAACTGACCTTTGGCATGGGCTTCTTTGTTTTCAAGAATTGGGGGGGAGGGTGGTAATACTGAATTGAGAGGAAAATGTATTTCAGCACTGGGAATAAAAGTTTGTGTCAATTAAGAAATTTATTTATTTGATTGATATGTAATCAAAATATTATTTATTTTTAAACAAACATCCATTAAATTCCTAGTAAATGTCAGGCACTAATAGTCCAAGAAATTGACAAGTAAATAGGTGATTACATACACTATAAGAAAGCCTGTGATGCAAGAATACACATGGGAGTATGTGATAGGAGCATGGCTTTCACCAGTTCCTTTTACATCTATCCCATTTGTGGCTCCAAAAGCAAGGAATTAGGTCTATTTTTCTATTTAACTTGATGGTTTACACTGGATTTTAAAAAATTTCTGGAGATGAAAGTAAAGCACCTTGAATTATGAGGACATTGGAAATGGTATTTCCTTGCCCTGGCCGGCTTTGCTCAGTGGATAGAGCATTGGCCTGGGGACTGAAGGGTCCCAGTTTAAATACTGGCCAAGGGCACATGCCTGGGTTGCAGGCTTGATCCCCAGAAGGCGGTGTGCAGGAGGCAGCATATCAATGATTCTCTCATCATTGATGTTTCTATCTCTCTCTCTCTCCCTTCCTCTCTGAAATGAATAAAGAAATATTGAAAAAAAAGAAATGGTATTTTCTGTAGAGCAGAAGCTTCCTATCAGCATAGTCACTAATGGGGTTTTCAATCTGAAAGGTTCTTCAGTATATTTTTCTTTGCTATCCACTTCTTTCTTCTTTTTTTTTACTTTCTCTTCTGCACTTTATCATTCAGAGACTTGGGTAGTTCCCCAATTAAGAATCCTTTGTAGCCCTGGCCTGTGTTATACAGTGGTTGGAGCATTGGCCCGTACAACAAGAGATTCTGGGTTCAACCTGGTCAAGGGCACATAGCTGAGTTGTAGGTTCTATTTCTGGCCCTCATTGGGTCATGTGGTGGAGGCAACCAACCCATGTGTCTCTCTCACATTGATGTGTTGTTGTTGTTTTTTTGTCTCTCTCACTCTCTCTAAAAAAAGAAGTGGAAAAAATATCTTCAGGTGAGATTAACAACAACAAAAGAGAATGCTTTACAGATTCTAAGGGTGATCTCTGGGAATAGACCAAAAATGATTTTTTTAACCTTCACGTTTTGAACCAACAAAATGAATATAAACTTTCATAACAGTTATTAAAAATGCAGATAATTTTAATTCTATTGCATTTTCCAGAATTCTACATGAAAATCCTCTGATGACTGTTCAAGATCCATATCTTTTTAATTTGCCAGCATTGAAATATTTGTAAGTATTGCAACAATTTCATGGCTCATGAGATGATTTCTGTTCTTACTTTTGTCAAAGAAGAACAATTTTGCATTTTGACAAAAAACTCATAATTTAAATTTTAACTGGGTTATTCTCTTTTTTTTAATTAAATCTTTATTGTTCAGATTACATTTGTTCCTCTTTTTTCCCCCCTATAACTCCCCTTCTTCCAGTTCCCGCCCCACCCTCCACCCTCACTCCCCACCCACTGACCTCATCCATAGGTGCACGATTTTTGTCCAGTCTCTTCCCACATCTCCCATTCCCCTTCCCCCCCCCCAAGAATAGTCAGTCCATTCCCTTTCTATGTCCCTGATTCATTATAATCACCAGTTCATTCTGTACATCAGATTATTTATTCACTTGATTCTTAGATTCACTTGTTGATAGATGCATGTTTGTTGTTCACAATTTGTATCTTTACCTTTTTCTTCTTCCTCTTCTTAAAGGATACCTTTCAGCATTTCGTATAATACTGGTTTAGTGGTGATGAACTCCTTTAGCTTTTCCTTATCTGTGAAGCTCTTTATCTGACCTTCAATTCTGAATGATAGCTTTGCTGGATAAAGTAATCTTGGTTGTAGGTTCTTGGTATTCATCACTTTGAATATTTCTTGCCACTCCCTTCTGGCCTGCAAAGTTTCTGTTGAGAAATCAGCTGACAGTCGTATGGGTATTCCCTTGTAGGTAATTGAGTCTCTTTCTCTTGCTGCTTTTAAGATTCTCTCTTTGTCTTTTGCTCTTGGCATTTTAATGATGATGTGTGTTGGTGTGGTCCTCTTTGGATTCCTTTTGTTTGGGGTTCTCTGCGCTTCTTGGACCTGTAAGTCCATTTCTTTCACCAGGTGGGGGAAGTTTTCTGCCATTATTTCTTCAAATAGGTTTTCAATATCTTGCTGTCTCTCATCTTCTGGCACTCCTATAATTCTGATATTAGTGCGCTTGAAGCTGTCCCAGAGGCTCCTTACACTATCTTCGTATTTTCGGATTCTTTTTTCATTTTGCTTTTCCAGTTGGGTGTTTTTTGCTTCTTCGCCTTTCAAATCTTTGGCTTGATTCTTGTGCTCCTCTGGTCTGCTATTGGGTATAATATTCTTTATTTCAGTCCGTGTATGCTTAATTTCTAGTTTCTTTATCATAGCATCGAGGGTCTCATTAGTTTTCGTGAGGCTCTCCTCAAGTTTATTGCAAGCCCTCAAAATTGCGTTTTTTAGCTCTATATCCTCCATTTCTGTCATGTTTTTTTGTCTCCGCATTTTTTATGCTTTCTTGGTGCACCCCCTTGTGGTCTTTGTGCTCAGTCTTGTTCTAGTTAAGCCTTGATCGTTGTAGTTAATACTAGAGGGATTTGACCACCAGGCCGACTGGCTGTGAGAATCAGCTGTGTGGAAAACTTCTGTCCTCTGGGGAGGTGCTAATCTAGCCTTTGCCTGAGGCGATCCGGCAAATGGCTCTGCGCAGGGCTTGGGCGGGGTGGGTCGCACGGGATCAGCACGGCGGGCGGGCGGAGGGAGCAGTTATGGCTGCTCTCAGTCCGTCCCCAGGGGCTCTGCCTCTCTGTCCCAGCAACCGCTGCAAACCTTGGAGGGACCGTAGCCAGACAGTCCTGCTTCTCCCGTTTGAGTCTGGGTCCCTAGAGACTCGCCCGGATCTGGAGCTCAGAGTCTGAGGCTCCCTCCAGATTGAAACAGACAACCTCGCCCTCAGCCACCAGCCCGCTTTGCGCGCGCACCTCCGTACCTTTAAATTTTCCACACTGCCCCTCCTCTGAGCCTCGGTATGCTGTTGTCTTTCCTTCTAGTAGAAGAGCCTCTCCTCAGCCAGCCTTCCTGTGGTTCTGGGTGATGTCGGTTCCGTCTCTTGGTTGTATTTTTGAAGTGGTTGTTTGTGGCAGCAGTCTCCGGTGTTTACCTATGCCGCCATCTTGGTGGTCTCCCAAACTGGGTTATTCTCAAAAATGATTTATTGGCACAGAAAAGTGATAAAAAATGTACAAGGGCAAGACAGCCAGCAGATGGAGGGAGCAGTGTTGAAAAACACATTCGGACATGAAACATGTAGATGCATGGAGAAATACCATGGATCTCAGAAAGGAAAAAGGAATAAGTTGTACATTCTGTGCTTTTTTTAAAAGAGTAATCACATAGTGGTTGGAACAGAGAATGAGAAGTAGGATGATGGTAACACAAAAACAAAATAACACATTGTACTGTTCACCAAAGTCATTAGTTTGATGATGAAAATACATTAATTTGATGATGCAATACATTTAAATTTCTTCAAGAAGAGCTCTCTAAAATGATTATGTATGGAAAGTAAACTAAAGCACCTTGAATTATGGAGCTGGCTTGACAGAGAAGCCAGAATTTAGGTCAACAGATGTTGTTAAGTGTCTTTTTAAGAATAGAATTTTTGTCTTGGGTCCATATCATGCATGTTTGGTCTTTCTCCTTCAGAGACATGGGAAGAACACAAGTGACATTGACAACACTTGATAACATTCTCATGACAGCTCCTGAATTAGAAAAACTGTAAGTTGATTTTTCTTTTTTTTAAAATATATTTTATTGATTTTTTACAGAGAGGAAGGGAGAAAGAGATAGAGAGTTAGAAACATCGATGAGAGAGAAACATCGATCAGCCGCCTCCTGCACATCCCCTACCGGGGATGTGCCCGCAACTCAGGTACATGCCCTTGACCGGAATCGAACCTGGGACCTTTCAGTCCGCAGGCTGACACTCCATCCACTGAGCCAAACTGGTTTCGGCAAGTTGATTTTTCTTATATTTATTTTCACTTTGTTCTTATGGTTTGCTTTTTATTTTCTTAAGTCGGGTTTATTTAAGTATAATTTGTATTTAATATAATTCTCTCTTTTAAAGCGTACAGTTTAGTGAGTTCTGATAAATGTGTAGTCTTGATAAATGTAGCACCATCACATTAGAGATCCAGAACACTTTTATCATCCCCACAGTGCCCTTCATATTTCTTCTTTTTTGTTAAAATGTATTTCTTTATTGATTTCAGAGAGGAAGGGAGAAGGATAGAGAGATAGAAACATCAATGATGAGAGAGAATCATTGATTGGCTGCCTCCTGCACACCCCTTACTGGGGAATGAGCCCGCAACCCTGACATGTGCCCTTGGCCGGAATCGAACCTGGGATCCTTCAGTCCACAGGCTGATGCTCTATCCACTGAGCCAAGCTGGCTAGGGTCCCCTCATATTTCTCAGCAGTCAGTTCCTCCTCCCACCTCCAGGCCCTGTCAAGCACAGGTCTGATTTTTTATTGTTATAGTCCTGCCTTTTACAGAGTGTCTTATAAATGAAATCATGTAGAGCAAGTGTGTCAAACTCAAAAGCTAACACGATCCAAATAAATGAGGCATGTGGCCGTGGGCTGTGAGTTTGACATGCTGTATGTAGTGTAGCTTTTTGTGTGTGGCTTCTTTCATGTAGCATGATCCTTTTGAGATCCATCTTAGTTGTTGCATCTATCAGTAGTACATTTCTTTTTTTATTGCTGCATAGTATTCCAGTTGTGTGTATATACTAGTTTGTTTCTGTAGTAATCGGGTAATGGATATTTGAGCTGTTTCTAGTTTTTTGGCTATTATGAATAGAGATGCTAAAAATACTCACATGCAGGTCTTTGTGTGAACATACGTTTTCATTGCTTTGGAGTAAGATACCTAAGGGTGGGGTTGCTGCATTATATGCTGAGTGCATATCTAACTAGGAAAGAAACTGCCTAACTGTGTTCTAACATGGTTGTACCATCTCGCCTTCCCACCAGCAGTAGATGAGAGTTGCAATTGCTCCACATTTTCACCTGATCTTTATATTTCTGTTTGATTTTTTAAATTAGCCTTTCTAGTAGGAATGCATTTGTATTGCAGCGTGATTTTAACTTGCATTTTCTAATAGCTGATGTGTGGAATGTCTATGTGAAAATACATTTTTCAATGGAGTGTCCAAATCCATTTTAATTTGACATTTATCTTATTATTAAGTGTTAAAGTGTTTTATATAAAGTCCTTTCTGTAAGATATGTGTTTACTAAATATCTTTTCCAAGGTTGTGCCTTCTATTAAACTTATCACTGAAGACCAGAAGTTTTTAAAAAATATATATTTTTATTTATTTTAGAGAGGGAGAGGCAGAGGGAGAGAGAGAGAGAGAAACCTCAATGATGAGAGAATCATTGATCAGCTGCTTCCTGCATGTAACCTACTGGGGATTGAGCCTGCATCCAGGCCTGTGCCCTGACCCGGAATCCAACTGTGACCTCTTGGTTCCTACGTCAATTCTCAATCTCTAAACTACACTGGCAGGCTGGACTGTTTTTTTGTCTTTTTTTAATACTCACCAGGAGATATTTTTCCTATTGATTTTTAGTGAGGGTGGAAGGGAGGAAGAGAGTGGGATAAAAGGGAGAGAGAGAGAGAGAGAGAGAGAGAGAGAGATCAATGTGAGGGAGACATATCAATTGGTTGATTGGTTGCCTTCTGCACACCACAAAGCCATCATTAAAATCAAATGTCTATATCCTCAAAAAGCTGTATCATGTCCCTTTTATAATTCTTCCTTCCCACTCCTCCTTGCCCTCCCCAATTCCTGTGCAAACACTGATCTGCTTTGTGTTACTATAGGTTAGTTTGCATTTTCTAGAATTTTATATAAATGAAATCGTATCGTATCTACTCTTTTCTAACTGGCCTCCTTTATTCAGCTGATTATTTTAAGACTAGAGGCCCAGTGCACGAAAATCGTGCAATGGGGGGTGGAGGGGCGGGGGAGTGTCTCTCAGCCCAGATCTTGGTGGATGCCCAGTGACAGCTCCCTATAGGTAGTGGGCCTAAGCTAACACTTGAACATCCTTAGCATTTCCTTGGAGGCAGGAGTGGCTCCCGCCACCACCACCACCACCGCTGTGCTCACCAGCCATGAGCCCAGCTTCTGGCTGAGAGGCATTCTCTCTGTGGGAGTGCACTGAGCACCAAGGGGCAGCTCCTGTATTGAGCGTCTACCCCCTGGTGGTCAGTGCACATCATAGCAACTGGTCGTTCTGCAGTTTGGTCGATTTGCATATTAGTCTTTTATTATAGAGGTTTAGTCTATGTTGTTTTGCATATCAATAATTCATGTCTTTTTATTGCTGAATAGTATTCCATTAAAATGGATATATCAGTATTAATCAACATTGATGGCTATTTGACTTGTTCCAATTTTTGACTATTACAAATAAAGCTATTGTGAATATTTATGTACAAGTCTGTTTATGGAAATATACTTCAATTTCTCTTGATAAGTGCCTGAAATTGGAATGGCTATGTCATACAGTCGGTGCATGTCTAAGCTTTAAAAAACAACTATTTTCCAAGTAACTCCTTTGTCACTAATATAATTCTGTATGTTTCCATTTATAGTATCTTACCTAACCGTTTGGCCTGCTGCCTCTGCCAATTTAAAAATAATATTGAGGCTGTTGCCAAGACAGTCAAACTGAATTGCGAGACGGAATGTGTGACCGACACACCTTGTGGTGAGTCTCAATTGCCTGATGATAAACCTTTTAATTTTTATTTTGTTTTCATTTTTTATTTGTAATCAATGACAATACATTTTTAGGCAAATAAAGTAACTGTATTATTTTTATTCATTTACTCAGAGTTCAACTCTAAAATTTTAAGAACTTCTCTTTGCTAAAAGTCAGATGAAGGGAAGGGTATTACCATTAATGGCTACATTGCGTGTGTTGTGCTCTCTGCTGGGTGCTTTGCTTCCAAATGAGAACTTGTTCATTAGTGTGTCACAGTTTGTAAACTCTTTTGTATGCATTAGGTTTCAATTGCCCTTTGCAGTGTACACAGATATTGATACATTTTTATTTTGTTTTTGCAAGCTTATGAAAAGAGTACAAATGATGCTGTTTCATGTAAGTTTTATTTGGAACCTGAGAGTTCTTGGATCCATCACCAGAAGCTGCTACCCAGCCCTTCTAAGGCATGGGAGGGCTCTTTCTTTTTAGACTGTGCAACTCTGACCTTGCTCTGAAGCACAAGGTGTTCTATCCACCAAACAGTCGTGTGCTTTTAAGTATTTTTCTACACGTTAGGTTTATTGGCAGCTACTTGATAACTTCCCAAATGTGCTTTCATGCCCACATAGCTTAAATACAAGTTTCTATCAGTGATCTGTGCTACTGATATAGAGTCAGTGTTGCTTATTTTTCAAAACAATGTTTTGACCAATGATATTACTCCCTTCTGCCCCAACAGTGGGCAGAACAGGCATTTTCATCTCCTTTTAAGGAGAGTGAAAACAAGACCAGAAAGGGCTGACAGCTGTCACCTCGTGCCCAGGTCTCCAGCTCCCAGTTTGGGGCTCTCCGCAAGCCCATGCTCTTTTCCAGGACGTTACCTCCTTCTCTCACCCTTATCACCACCAGCAATGCTTTTAATTCTGCAGAAAATTCTTGTGTACCAGCTGCACAATGGTACACTTGACCTTCACACAGTCGAAATCTTTGGATGGTTCCCCAAGTACAGCTGAAAATATAAGAAATGACATGAAATGATAGCAAAGTAGGCATCTGACAAAAGTTATTTTTCCCTTATGTATTTTAGAACCCCAAGTCTTATTCCATAGATTTATTGAACATTCCACAGTGGTACACAACCTGGCAAGTCTCTTAATGTACATCCCAGATGCCTGCCTAAATCTTAAGCACAGAGTGAGGGTAGACATGTTGTTTTTTCTGTATAGAGCCGTCTGTTATGGGGCTGGCATATGTGGAGGCAGGGCCCAAGTGAGGAATCGGTGGGTTAGTGGAGAAGGGTGGGTCCAGATGAGGACGTGTTAGCCATGGGTGTTAATCGTGGTCATCTGTGATGGTAGCAAGAACACAGCATCCTGAAGAGTGGAGAGAGGAAGGCTCAGGCTCTTTCTGCATCTGAAGCAGGACAGGATGGGTGCGTGAATGTGAGGAGTTCACAGTAGATCTGCAGAGCGTCTAACTGAGTGGGTCTTCCAGCCCTGGCTTTCCTCCAGTAACCGGCAGTTGGCCCTTGGGGACCAATGGAATAATCCTAAATATAGTCACCATATGTCATGGTAGGGAATGCTCTAAGTAAATAATCACTTTAAAAAAAGAGACAGTTTCTCCTTTTGTTTTGTCGACAATCATAGATGTAAGTTGGGGTTTATATTTCTCCTCTCCAAATGGCACTCAGATACTTGCTGATTCTCTATATATTGGACTGGGATGTATGGCTGTGGACTGACAAATAGCTGTCCCGTGAGTCTTTCAATATCAAATGCGATTTCTTCTTTTTTGACAGATGAAGAACTCATAATAGAAGGACTGCTAATGCACACATTACAGGCCCGGCAGGACACCAGCACTGAGCTGACCATTGAGCCAGAGAGGGCATCCTCAGTCAAAAATCCTGACACTTCGGCATCCATTATGAGTGAGCAGCTAGACTTTAATAATAAAAGTGATGTTAACAGTGCACTAAATTACCAATTGCCTTATTTCTTGGAGGGAAATCTAGAAGAAATAGAATCAACTTTATTACCATTCATTAAACTGCCTCTTTCAAATGTACATGATGCAGATATGTCCCTGAATCATTTGAAAAACAACAGATGAAATCCTTCTCTTAAACCTGAACTTAACCATTCAAGTTTCAAAAATTAACCGAGGAAACTCTTTTCTGGAATAGGCCTTCTGATGAGACTGCTCACTGAGCAGCAGGAAGTAAAGATATCCAACTCAGAGTGGGATGAGGAACAATGGAAAGATGAGAGGATGCAAACCCTCAAGAAGCAGGAAGAGAGGGTGTCTAATGAGGTAAGGACAGGTCCTGAAACACCTGACCTGGACTTTTAGTCAGTTTAGGACAGTGATGGAGGACCTATGACACGCCTGTCACAGGTGACACACAAACTCATTTTTTTGGTTGATTTTTCTTTGTTAAATGGCATTTAAATATATAAAATACATATCAAAAATATAAATCTTATTTTTTCTATGGTTGCAAATATCAAAAAATTTCTATATGTGACACGGCACCAGAGTTAAGTTAGGGTTTTTCAAAATGCTGACTCGCCGAGCTCAAAAGGTTCGCCATCACTGATTTAGGACATGCCATGAAAGTACCCAGGTAGGAAGACCAGGAGCACCTCCTCTCAGTCGTGTCTTGATCATGTGACTTTGGCTTAGACAGTGATCTTCCACTTTGCTCATTTAGAGATTTGTGCCACTGTTCCTAGGGTAGATGAGAAGAGGACCTAAATTCCAAGATAAAAAATTGTACAAGAAAATGCTAATGACCAGATTACATAACACATTAGATGTGCTATGTTCTTTAAGAAACTATAAGGTTTGGTATATTGCTTAAGAACCATGTGGAAAGGTGGGGTTTTAGAGTAGTAGTTAAGAATAGCTAGCAATTCATTAGAATAGGCTAGAGAATAGTTAGTTTTTATGCTTTCCATATCTTTGTGGGTTTTTTTTAATGTTGTTGTTGGTGTTCTTGTTCTTGTTCTTCTTATTCTCCTCCCCCTCCTCCTCTTCCCCTCCCCCTCCCTCTCCCCCTTTCCCACTTCCTATCCCTCCTCTTCTTCTTCCTCTTCCTCTCCCTCCTCCTCCTTCTAGCTCAGGCAAGAAGTGCCAAGATATAAGAAGGAAATCATCATTGCATCACCTGTGATTGCAGTAACAACGTTTTATTTTGTAGTTTTCTGTCTCCTTGTGGTAAGACAACAGTTAATTCAGATTTCCAATATATAGTCCATCTTTGAGGAGGTTCAGAACCCACAACCTGAAAATCAAAGCCACTGTCCTGTCTACTCCTACCTGATACTCTTCTTTAGTCATGAGCACTGAGATATGCTTTATTCTTTTTTTTATTACAAATTATATTCTTGGGATGTCTAAAGGAAGCCCACTCCTAGAAATCTCTGAACATGAAATCAAGATAACAAGCCATTAGACCATTTTGAAAATATATATTTTTATTGATTTCAGAGAGGAAGGGAGAGAGAGAGAGAGATAGAAACATCAATGATGGGCTGCCTCCTGCAAGGCCCTTATTGTGAGCAAGCCTGCAACACAGGCATATGCCCTTACTGGAATTGAACCTGGGACCTTTCAGTCCACAGGCCAATGGTCTATCAACTGAGCCATACCAGCCACTAGACTATTTTGAAACTTAAGTTTGATAGGCCAGATTTGATATGATAGCAAAATTTCTTCAACTCAAAATGAACGAGGTTGAGTTGATGTACTCACCAATTACTCTCTTCCTGATTTCTTTCTTTGTTGGATAAAATGAGGAGAGATATAGAATCTCCAACCTCATGGAGCTATGTCACCCTAGCAGATGGGACATGGCATAATGATGTAAGTGTGATCTTGTCAATTCTTAAGGTATACTTAGCAGCTTCCTTCTCCAGTGTGTAAGGCATGGTGTTAGTAGGTTCAGTTAAAACACTGCAACCTAAATCCTGCATCAGGCTTCTCTAAAGCATGTCATGTTGGAGTCACCTGTTCCTAGAGCTTGTCTGTGTCCCTTTTGTTCAATTACATAATGGTGTACTTTTCCCTACAGGCAGATTGCTGACATTAAAGAATGATTTAGTAAGCTGACAATCTTGACTCTACCCCATAAATCCAACATAATATATTTTATTTACCCTTTCAACAGTCATGACAGCGCTCCATTCCAGCCAAAGCCACCCCACACCATAACCTAGCCACACCAGCCCCATTCCCACTTTTTTAAATGCCTTTGCCCATCTAAAATTCCCTTATTGTGCTCTCCCTGGGGAAGTCCAGTGAATATCTCAAAAGCCAGCTCAGGTTCATCTTTCTTCATGAAGCTTTCCCAGAGTCTTCCAGCCATGCTGTTCCTAGTTTTTTTGTGAGCTGTGTCACTATTTTTCTTTGAGGTAATAGTTAGGCATTTGCCTCCCCTGAGAACTTAAAAATATGGTAAACTATTTTTTAAAATGTGCCTCCCCAAGAGAGAAATACCTAGGTGAACACATCATGGAGCAGAGCAGAGATGTGTAAAGACCAAGTGGCTTCAGACCTATATGTTCCTAAGACTTTTGAAATGTCACATTTTAATATTCTAATCTGTGGAAGAAAATGAAAAATGGGAATAGAAAAGCCGCCTAATTATTTGAGAGGGAAAATAATAGCAGATTTATATTCTCATCTTAAACAAACATATTTACAAAATGTAAAAAAAAAAAAATAGAACCTGTATAAGTACCAGAAGAAAACAGAAGCAATATATTTATAATCTGGTGGTGGGAAACAGCTTTTGAGCCTGATACCACAGGCAGAACCTTTGATAGATTTGACCACCTTGCCTGTGACACCATTAGCAAACTTAGCACTGGTTGATGCCAAGCACAGGATGAAGATTTTTCCATATACATGAGTGATTCAGTCCCCACAATCCTGTGAGGAAGATAGTACCACCTTCTCCCAAAGATGGAGATGGACTTAAGCTCCCAGTGGCAAAGGCAAAAGCAGGACCCTGTTCTGCCTGACTGCGAAGTCCGTGCTTCCTACTCCACTGTTCTGTCTCCTTAAAGACAAAAGCACTGGGGCCATGGCCGCAGTTTCTCAGTAGTTAGAGCATCAGTCCAAGCACCGAAGGGTCCCAGGTTGATTCCAGGACAAGGGCAGGTACCTGGGTAGCAGGGCACCTGCCATGCAGGAAGCAACCAGTTGATGTGCCTCTGTCACATTCCTATTTCTCTCTCTCTTTTTTCCCTCCTGCCCCCTCCCTCCCACATTCTCTTAAAAACAATGGAAAAAATATCCTTAGGTGAGGATTAACAACAACAAAAAAGTACACTGGGGAATATTTGAAACATTGAAATTCAATGAAAGCCACTAAGGATTAAGTTATTTAATGTAAAAAGAGTTCCATAATTAAACAGGAAGAAGACAATCTAGGGTGGAAGAGGGCAAGGGCTGTGAAGAGTAGGCTGTGTGTAGACAGTCTGTCACCATATCTGTCGATATTCTCTTGGTTTATGGGGTGTGGATTTTATTAGCGAGGTCTTTGTCACCTCACAGTATGAAAGTAGTCTGATATTTTCTTCTAGTCCTTTTTGTCATATTTGGGTTTTTTTTTCTGAAATTAAAAAAAACACCTATCATTGGTTTTATTTGCTTTTCTTGTGGTTGACTGTTATTCCCCTACATGAAGATCCAATTGTCTTAACATGTTTTATTGAAGATCTCATTCTTTCTTCACTGATCTGAAATTTACCTTTCTGTGGACTGTATTCTGTTGACCCAGTTATCTTTGTTTTGTACCAGTAGAACTATCAGTAGCAGTATCTATATATATATATAATGATATAGACATATACATATATCTGTATATATATATATTTATATATCCATATCTATCTATCTATCTATCTATCTATCTATCTATCTATCTATCTATCTATCTATGTATATTGCTTTCAGGGAGGAGGGGAGAGGAAGAGAAAGATAGAAACATCAATGATGAGAGAAAAATTGATCATCTGCTTCTTGCACATCCCCTGCTAGGGATCAAGCCTGCAACCCGGTAATGTGCCCTTGACCAGAATGGAACCCAGGACGCTTCAGTCTGCAGGCCAACGCTCTAGCCACTGAGCCAAACTGGCTAGGGCCTGTGTCACTATATAATTTCAGTTCCATTTTAACCTCCTTTTTGGAAGTTAAACGCCTCCTTTTTTACCTTTTTCATACATTTCATTGCATATTTTCTCTACTAAATGTCAATTGTTCGGTTTATGTTTAAAAATTATCTTGGAATTTGAATAGGATTACAGTGCATTTGTAGATTAATTTAAGGAGAATTGGCATCTTTACTACCTTCTAGGAACATGGTACCTCACTTTGTGTATTCTTTCTAAAGTCCTTCAGAAGAGTTTTAATGGGTCTTGCACATTTTTTGTTAAGTTATTCCTTTATGCATTTTATTGATATTGTAAATGGACTCTTTCATTTTTTTATTAGTTATTTGTGGTATGTAGGAAAGCTGTTGAGATTTGCATGTCTTGATTTAGCCATCTTACTGAATAAAATTTTAATCTATGCCCTTGGGCTTCTTAGGTTGTGCATTATCTCACGTGCAAATATGTTTTGTCTCTTTCCTTCCAGTACTTCATTTTTCCTATTAAATTGATTAGGACCTCCTAAGAGATTTGCATGTCTTGATTTAGCCATCTTACTGAATAAAATTTTAATCTATGCTCTTGGGTTTTTTAGGTTGTGCATTATCTCACGTGCAAATATGTTTTGTCTCTTTCCTTCCAGTACTTCATTTTTCCTATTAAATTGATTAGGACCTCCTCAACAATGATAAATAGTATCAGTAATAACAGGCATCCTACTCTTGTTCTTGACCTAAAACAAACCTGCTGTGTAGGTTTCTGGTAGGCACTTTCATTTTCTTTGCTACTTCTAAGAGTTTTTATCAGGAATTATCTGCTGAAAGTGATCTGAAACAGCCAATAAAATGCATTGCCAGCTGCATGCAAGGTCCTAAGTTAGGACTATGGGAGAGTCAAAGGACTAGACAGAGTTTCTGTCCTCAAAAAATTAATCATCTCACTTAAAGAGAAGGAATAAAGCTTTAGAGGTCATTGTGCTGAATAATCATGACGTTTTCTTCCAAAATAGATTTTTCGGAGGAAGCTAAAGAAAAAGGGAAGCTCAAGGTAAATATGGGTCTGGTGATTTTTAAATTAGAATTTTTTAAGGAGAGTAACTTCCTCTTTCTGTAAGTGGCCAGAGGTGACCTCAGAAAATGGCTCATTATTCACTTGAGTCAGAAAACCCCACAAAATCATGAAAGTCAAGAGATTTAAACCTTTGTGGTCACTTTAAGGACATTCTTGAAACTACACAGGTCATCAAGGATACGCATATCCGAAAACCACCAAGCATCTGAAGGATGTCACCTTATAGGAGCAATGTGTGCCATTCTGTCATTACAGTGGTGGAGTTGGTAGGCATGCTCAAGCCAAAGAGAAGGGTGCAGGTTGGTGACCCCAAAGAGTGCTGAATTTTTGCTACTGTTAACATAAAAAAACCATCGTAAAGAATTTTTTTGAGTTTATTTGAGCCAAACTGTCAACATATGCTGGGAAGTAGAACCTCTAGGAATTGAGGTAATGCTCCAAAGAATGGCGGGTTACATCTGTATTTATACATTGCAATCAAAGGAAAGGGATGTAGGTGGATTACATGAAATCCACTGGTGATAGATTAAGGAGGTGGGATAAAGCAAAGCAGGAAAACCTCTGGGATAGGAGAAAAGTGAAATGATGGACATGTGCTGCTTTTACATAGATGGATACAGGAAAGTTCAACATAATTAACAGTTGACGATTAACTTGATAACATAACAATGAGGGAATGCCCTGGTGCTATTTGTTGCACCCTGAAGGTCCAGAAAAAAGAGGAATTTACAAGTTACCCAGACATTTCACAGATATGTTATCTTAGAGGCAAGAAGACAAATGGGCTCAGTAAAAATCTAAGTTGATCTTTGTCAGGGAAAACATTGGCCTAGGACATGAGAACCCACTATAACCTGTGTGTAGTTAAATATTTAATTTTCAGACCATCTTTTGTGGTTATTTTAGGTCTCTGAGTCTGCAAGACTGCCATGCAGGCCTCCCCTGAGCTTGTGACCCCTGTTGTCCACACTACACATGCTTAAAAATGCAGTAAGCAACACACTGAAAATTCTGTCTATATCCCATGCGAACCTACATACATAGGTCTCCCAGAGACATTGCAGGGCCATTTTAAACTGTCACAGAGAATTGGAAGCCCAGCATGCAAGTTATCATTTTCAAGGTCCCAGGTGTGTGGTGATTTTGCTCAGGAATATAGACCCAAGTACCCAATTAGTCCGAATAAGACCAGAACTGTATGTGTGAGAGACATGGAGAATGGCATGAATCACTAACTGTTGGTATGTATTTTCCTCCAAGCAGCCTTTTCCCCAGATTCACATCTTCGTCTGACATTGATATAGAGGTAAATTTGAGGAGGACAAAGTACTGTGGCGGGACAAAGCAGGGGAAACGTAGAGTTCATGTCTCCCCATCTGTTTTCTAGCAACGTGGATATTGGAGCAGGCGGTCGTTTTCACTCAAGCATAGATTTGGCAGGAAGAAAAGCCAGAAGGGGGAGCAGAAGGCACAGGAGCAGGAACCGTTCTTGAAAATGTAAATGATTGGGAACACTTAGAATTCTTATCTAAAACGAGGAATAATGAATAGTTTAATTGTATCTTTCAAGAGTCAAAGCCTTGACCTTTGTCTTCTTCTTACTCCAGGGAGCGGAGTAAATCTGCTGATTCCTTAAGGAGGATGGACACGTCCGAGTCTGCTTCTGACACAGGTGGAGAAACTAGGGCCTGATACCTTCACAGAGCAAGACCATCTTCTGCCTAATTAAACATGTATTGCAAATGTGTCAGTTCATAGCTACCTCTAGCCTTGATGTAAGGAATGAAAGTGTAAATAGTCAAGTATTTATATGCAAATAAGAAGGGCCATAGGCAAGAAAAGCAGGGCTGAAGCTGGAATCCCTGGGGAAGCCAGTACTTCCTCAAGCAGCAGTGTGGTCCAACCAGGTGAAGAGGTCTTCTCTCCCTTGTTTCCCCAATACATTCAGTCCCTGAGAACTGGCGGACACCTCCTCCCCCAGGGGTATAGGGCAGTGGTGGGCAACCCCTGGCTCGCGTTGCAAACATGGCACGCCAGTAACTTTTGCTGGCACTTGAAACCCTCTCTTATAATCTTCCTGTTAGGTTAGGTGGCTCAGGAGGCGGCGTAAGAAACAAAGAGTCGAGTGAATCAGAAAAGAAAAGAAAAGAAAAGGAAAGGTTTATTTCTGCGTCCCTGGGAGACCCACATACTCCAAAGACAGGGCATGTGGATTCATGCCAACAAGGAGGGGGGTGCTTTTTTTATACTGTGGTTGGTTGAGGGCAGGGACCTGAGCTGAGGTATTTAGCTGAGGAAGTTTCAGCTGCAGGGGGTCCGCAAGGAATTCAGGAAGGAGTCAGTATCTGTGTGGGGGTGGTCAGGGAGAAGCCAGTATCTGTGTCTGGCACGCTGATCTGTGAGAAATTCCAGGGGAAGTCCATTGTCTCATCACATGCCTGCATGTATCTGATCCTGGGCTCTCTCTGACCTAACACTTCCATTTACAATTTTTTTCTTAATATCGACTTTTTTATTTTTCAGATAAATTCAGTGTAGGTGCATCTTAGTTAAAAAAATAATTTTACATAACAAGTTATCTAAAAGACCATAGACATGGATTGACGAGAGAGGGGAAGAGCAATTTCAATAGTGTCGAAAACGATTTATTGAGGACTTGGAATGCCATTGCAGAAAATTTTTTCTGTTTAAAAAACTGCAACAGCGTTACTCTCCATGTTTTCATCCACATGCACTTGTGAATCTTTGTTCTCAGTGATGAATTTTGTTAAGTCACATAATAGGAGTAGCCTGATGGATGAAAGTAGTAGCTTGTGCATATTTCTGAAGGTCACGAAATATAAACCTGATGTAAAATCTCTGTCATCAATGATGCAGCAGCAAAAGTCCCACTGATAATATCAAACGGAGTCATAAAGTTTTCTGTCGGACTATCAGTGTACATGTATACATTAAAAAATAAATGTATTTTTCATCATCATATACTGTGTTTTTGTCGCTCGAATGAATTTTATGATTTCTTCAAGGTTCTTCAAATACGTACACCTTAAGAGATATCAAGTGAAAGGGCGAGGGCTATGCCCTCCCCTCCATCTTGCCTGTATCCTCCATGTTGGGGCCACGTGTAGCCTTCTTCCTGGAAGCCCAGGCCTCTGCTGGCCACGCCCGGGATTTTAAACTAACCAATGACAATCAAGGGAAATGCGCGCCATAGATATGACCACATCCTGTGTAACAAGACCCGGCTCACGCCTGGCCAATCGGCAGGGCCCACAATCCCCTTGCGCCACCCCCCTATTAAAGCCAGTTTTTCCCATGGGTGGGGACTCTGTTCTTGTCGCCGGGGCCGGCCGGGAGCAGGGTCGGGCCGGCGGGAAGCAGAGTCGGTTTAGCTAGACCAAAATAAAAGGACCTTCTGCTTTTGCATCGAACTGGCTCCCAGAGTGGCTTTTTGGGGATCTTGGAATCTGGGCATAACATCAAGTAGGGGTAACATGTGTCAACGTAAAAAAACCATTGAAATCTGTAAAGAATTTTTGTGAGTTTATTTGAGCCAAACTGTCGACATATGCCTGGAAGCAGAACCTCAACGAATTGAGATAGTGCTCCGGAGAATGGCGGGGTTAAAATTGTATTTATACATTGCAATCAAAGGAGGGACATAGGTGGATTACATGAAATTCATTGGTGACAGATTTAAGGAGGTGGGATTAAGCGAAGGGGGGGGAGGGGGGACCTCTGTGATAGGATAAAAAGTAAAATGACGGACACATACTTAGTTGGGTGCAGGAACAATTAACATGATGATGAAGGAATTTGTGGTATCTGTCCTGGGCCCAGCACACCTGGCTGTACCCAGGGGCTCCAGATACAGGGAAATCATAAGTTACCCAGACATTTCAAGGGTATGTTATCATAGATGCAAAAAGACAGATAGGCTCAGTTACGGTAAAGGTTGACCTTGTCAGTGAAGATATCGGCTTAGGACGTAACTGCCCACCATAACTGCTTTTAGTTAAGGTTTAATTTCAGACCATCCTTTGTGGTTACTTTAGGTCTCCAAAGTCTGCAAAACTGCCATGCAGGCCTCTCCTGAGCTTGTCAGGTCAGCATGTGGCCCCTTTCGTCCACACATGTTCTCAAAATATTAGGGTTGACACGCAGAAGAATTTTGAGTCAGAGATTTTGCTGGTTTTGGCACCCACTCACAAAAAGGAGCCCACCCTTGGTATAGGTTATTCTGGTGCTCTGTCCCCCTAGCTCACCAGTTATTTATAATACATTTGACCTCCTATCCATAGAGGATCATTCACTTTCTCCCCTCTCAACAGGCCTTGGGGTTCTCAGAATATTTGGGTCCCTGAGCCTATTTCTCTCCCCCCCCTCCCCCCCAAGCCTTTAAGATCATGGATAAATATGTGCCCTGTCCTGGTATAGCTGGTTCTTCACTCTTTAAAGCTGGTGTAAAATTCAGAGTAGGTTTTTGGTATTTTTTTTTAATTAAAAAAACTCCCAGCCCGGCCAGTGTGGCTCAGTTGATTCAATGTCGTCTCACCTACCAGGAGGTCCATGTTGGATTACAGGTCAGGGCACATGTCAGGGTCGTAGGGGAGCATGTTTCTTTCCCTTCCTCTCTCTGAAATCAATAAAAATAATAAAGAATCAAAAGTCTTTGAAAAACAAACCACAACAACAGAAACCCCTCTAAACTATTGGATAGCTACCAGGAAGTTGCTGGAGATAAAGGGTAAAGAAGAACGTGTGTGAGCAGTAACTGCCTACGAATTCCCTCCTCAGGACTTTATTTCAGGAAACGTACTGGTGGGGCCACTACTCCATTCACTTGTCCTGCCTCAGCCTCTGTGGACCCCACTGCGGGTCATGTGTGTGCTCCTCCGCTCCCTCCAGCTCAGCCCAGCACCAAACCTACCTACTTACTTCTGTGCCCAACACAGATCCTTCGACGCACGATTCCAATTG